AGATATCTTGCTTTGCCCAGAGCCTTGATTCCAGTGCCCACTACCAGGATATGGCAAGATAGGTCTCCAGGAAAACCACATGAAATGAATAAATGAGAATGGATATTAATAATAATAATAATTAATAATAAATAATATCTACCTAAATTTAATTTTTTAAAAAATTATTACTTTATTTGAAATAGCTCGTTAGATAATCATAGCTACTCTTTTAAAAGCAACTCTTACGATCAATTCCACATATTATTTGTTAATGTCTACAAGAGAAATATTATCATTTTGCACATCTGAAAATATTTTCTGAGAAGTGAAACTACTTTCTCAAAGAGGGAGGCAATGATTATAATTCAAGTCTGTTGGTTCTAATATTCATCCTTTTTTACTAAAATAGATTTTCCTTCCACTAAACTGTTCTGAAAAGAAAGCTTATGTAATTAAGTCCTACTTTTGGTAGCTAGTTAAATTATTTTTGAACATGGAATAATGTTGTATTTGGAAGATGCAGTCAAAATATATATCAGCTACTAAAAGATTAGAATAAAAAAGATCAAAACCCTTTGTTCCTCTTGCTGTTAATATCAGGTCATAAACTTTCTTGCTGATAGATTTCATTGAGAATTAAAATTTTTAAATTTTCTAATTAGAGTTGACACTCGTTATTATTTTGTATTAGTTTCGGGTGTATAGTATAGTGATTAGACATGTATATAATTTATGAAGTGATCCCCAATTAGTCGAGTGCCCACTTGGCACTATACATAGTTTTACAGTATTATTGACTATATTCCCTAGCTATACATCACATCTCCATGACTATTTTGTAACTACCAATTTGCACCTCTTAATCTCTTCACTTTTTTCACCCAGCTCTCCAATCCCCCTCCTATGCAGCAACCATCAGTTTGTTCTCTATATCTGAGTCTGTTTCTATTGTGTTGAGAATTAAAAACATTTAAATTCATATCCTTTATTTGTGTTTTCATTAGCCTTCCAAAATGTATAATAATTTTAGAAGTACTTATATAAAAGAAAAATAACTATGCCTTAAGGTGTACCAGAAAAGAAAACCATACCGATTCAAAACCCTTATACTGAGTCTTAAGATGTCCAGACTTTCATATATGGACAAATATATTATTTTGAGGACATAATTCTGCAAACTTCAAATAATTAATCAATACTGGAATATGTACCTTTTTTCTGAAATCATGAGATTTATTTTGAAGATAATACAGTGTTTTCATATGGCATATGGCACTTTCATATTTGGACTCATTTCATGGATATAAAAGCTTAATAGCAATGACTGCTGTAAATATGGTTAAAGTTATGGGAATTAATGAAAGTGAAGGTAACTATAATTATCCCTAGTTTTTATTTATAACTTTCATAATACATGTGCTTTGAGAAAGAGCCAAGCTCTTATCTATAGAAGAAGTAAATGAAGTCGAATAGCAAATGAGCATAATGCATTCTGTTGACCTATTCTCAAACTTTGATGTTTACTATACACCAAAATCTTAGTTAAGGTGGTTGGTAAATTAAAATCTGTTTCTAATTGGAATGCAAATGAACTTCTAAACTGCTAAACTTTAATCCACATTAATCCAAAGCTAAACTTTACTCAAATTATTAGCTTTTAAAACAGAAAGCTTAAACAATGAACATACAACTTTGCCAAATATTTTTATCTTACAAGGAATATTGTATTTCCAGCTATGTAGAGCTGTGTATAGAACATGATATATCATTAACAGGTCCAGGAAAAATATATGTACAGTTATTCCCATATATAATTCTTTACTGATTTGCTTAAAAATAATTTACTGTGAACAATTCAAGTTTTCCTTATCATTCTCCCATACATGGCATTGACTGAGTCATTTTACATGAGATTATTTCTCATTTGGCTAAACTAAGACTTTGTTATCTTGAGAATTCCTCTTGTATCTGCCCACAATAAATGATACAAACAAATTAAAGAGTATATAAGAAATACTATGATTAAATTCTCAAACAAGTGGCATAAATAAATAGTGCCATTCACAAAAGAAATGATGAGGCTGGGATATCAGAGAAATTAATGTTTTCCAAAGGATGAGATGCATAGCATTGTATGAGAGATTCTATAAGGTGATACTGGAAGGTGGCATTAAATAAGACTGAAACACTCAATTAGAAAGTTATTTTCTTTTCAGCTTTCTTTCCATTTATTTTATTTCCATTAGGGGAAAATCAGAATGTAGTTCACCACTACCACAAATTATGTAGTTCAGTTTCTCACATTCAGGGAAATAGCACATCCGAAGTGCAATGGCCAAGGCTGGCCCTTGGAAAACCGACTTTGTGATCATGATGTCTCCCCTTCCAGGTAAGTATTCGATTTATTTGTTTAAACAAGGACGAGCAAGCCTTAAACTTAGAGCCTTTGGGAAGTAACACAATCTAGCTAGAATTTAATTTTATTTTGCTTACATCATAGCGATTTTATAGCTCCTGTTTATACAAGTTAACTAGTTTTTCATATATGATGGTTTCATTTTCAAACAAATTTAGGAATAAAAGTGCATCAGTTAAAAATACTAAATAAATAATAGTGCAGATGGTAAACATATCTGGCAATACTCGTTAAGTTGTGGGAGATACTGAGGCAAAATCTTGTAGAGGTCCTTGATAGATATGTAGGTCTTTGACGGATGTGTAGAATTCAAAAAAGCAATTGGAAGAAGAATGAGGGAAAGGAATAAGAGGGAGGGCAGAAAACACACACACACACACACACACACACACACACACACACAAAGTCAAGAGTAAATCTGGCAT